CCCGCCCCGCGCCGACCAGGCGGGCCAAGAGGGCCGACTGCCAGGCTCGACGCCAGCGCCGACGCCTGCGTCGACGCCAGCTGCAACGCCGGCATTGACATCGCCACCTGCGCCTGCACTGACACCACCAGCGACGAACCCTGCGTCGACGGGTCCACCTGCATCATGGCAGCCACTCGCCCCGACGACAGCGCCGACGCAACTGGCGACGCCGGCGACAGCGCCTGCCTCTACGGCAGCACCATCAGCGGCGTAGTCACCAGCGTCGATGCCACCGCTGACGCCTGCAGCAACGCCAGCAGCGACGCCGTCGTCCTGCTCGACGCAGGCATCAGCGCAGCTGCCAGCTTTGACGGCAACGCTGACGTCTGAACGAACGCCATCAGCGCCACTGCTGACGACGCCATCGCCGACGCCTAGGCAGCCATCCCTGCCGGGCGGGGAGGGCGGGCCCTTCGCCGGGCCCGCAATTTCCCAGACCAGCGGGTCTTGCCGAAACCCGCAGGTGTGCAGGTACACGTCCCACCATCGCGAGCAGCGCGACGGTCTCCAGCCGCGCGACCGTGGGCAGCGTGGCGGACTCCAGCGGCCAGCGGCAGCATCGCGAGCAGCACGTCGGACCCAAGCAGCGCGAACTTGAGCAGCGTCACAGACTCCGGCAGTGCCATCGCGACAGCATGACGGACTCCAGCAGCGCGACCAGGTGCAGCATGACGGACTCACCATATTGAGCTGCAGTATGGTCTCTAGAATCACGACCGTCAGCAGCATGGCGGAGTTCGGCAGCGTCGTCGCGAGCAGCGCCGCGGCGCTAAGCAGCGCGACCGTGGGCGGCGGGGCGGGCTCACGCAGCGCAAATGCGAGCAGCGTGACGGACGCCAGCAGCGCCTCCGCGAGCAGCGTGGCCGATTCCAGCGCGCGACCCTGGGCAGCATGATGGGTTCCAGAAGCAGCGTCGGGTGCAGCCCGTCGGACTCCAGCAGCACAAGTATGAGAAGGATGACGCGCCACAGCAGCAACATCATGGGCAGCGCGACGGGTGCCGGCAGCGCTGTCGTGAGCAGCGCGATGGGCCCCAACGGGGCGACCGTCAGCAGCGTGGCGGATTCCAGCGGCGGCGTCGCGAGTAGCCCGACGGGCTCCAGCAGCGCGATCAGCATCGCGGGCTCCAGCGGCGCCCTCGCGAGCCGCGCAGCGGACCCCAGCGGCGCTGCCGCGGGTGGCATGGTGGACTCCCGCAGCGCGACTGTGAGCAGCCCAACGGACTCCAGCAACCCCGTCGTGAGCTGCATTGCGGAGTCCAGCAGCGAGCAACGCGGCCGTCAGCAGCAAGGCGGACTCTTGCAGAACGACCGTGCGCAGCATGGTGGACCCAACAGTGCGACCGTGAGCAGCGCGACGGAATCCAGCAGCGCAATCGTGAGCAACGCGACGGACTCCATCAGCGCGACCGTGAGCAGCGCGACGGATTCCAGAAACGCGACCGCGAGCGGCATGAGGGGCTCCAGCAGCAGCGCCGGGAGCGTCGCGACGGACTCCAGCAGCACGGCCGTGAGCAGCATGACGGAATCCAGCCTCGGCATAGTTAGAAGCGCCGCGGGCCCCGGAGGCACGATCGTGAGGAGTATGACAGACTCCCGCAGCTCCATCTTCAGCAGCATGGCGGACTCCGGCGGCAGAGAGGCTCGATGGGCGCCAGCGGTGCGATCGTTCGCTGTGTGACAGTCTCCGGCAACGCCATGGTGAGCAGCCCGACTGACTCTGACAGCGCGGCCGTGAGCGGCAGGAAGGACGCTGGCAGTGCCATCGCGAGCGGCAATGCGACTTCCAGCCGCGCGACCGTCAGGGGCCTGGCGGACTTCAGCAGCCCACCATGAGCAGCATCACGGACTCCAGTCAGCATGCTGGCGACTGACCGCGCGGACTCCAGCCCCAGCGCCGCCGGCTGCGTCGGTGGCAGCGCGACGGATTCCGGCATTGCGATTGAGCAGGATGACGCGTTCTAGCATCACCAGTGCGAGCAGCATGACGGACCCCAGCAGCGCGACCGCGAGCAGAATGTCAGACACCAGCGGCAGCATCGGTAGAAGCGCGACGGACTCCAGCGGCAGCATCGCGAGCAGTATGACGGACCCCAGCCGCACCATTGTGAGCAGCGCGACGGACACCTGCAGCACGACCAATAGCTACGCGAAGGAGTCCAGCAACACCATCGAGAGCAACAGCGCGGGCTCCAGCAGCACAACCCTCAGCAGCATGGCGGACTTCAGCAGCGTTATCGCGAGCAGCATTCTGGACTCCAGCAGCCTGACCATGATCTTGAGCAGCGCGACGGACTCCAGTGCGTGCGCGAGCAGCGCGACGGATCCCAGATGTGCAACCGCGAGCAGCGCGACTGGGTTCCAGTGCAGGAGCTCGCGCCGGCGTCTACACTTGCGTCCGTATAGGCCCCGGCAACGGTTCTGGCATCGACGCCAGTGTCGACCCGGCATCGACGCCATCACCCAACGCGGCGTTGATTTCAGCACCAGAACCGGCCTCGACGTCTTCTTCAACGCCGCTATCGACGCCAGCACCCGCGCTAGCACCAAAACCCGTGCTGGCCCTCGCGACAGTGTCGAAGCCCGCCTTTCTACGCGGCCGTCGACAGGCGCCACGACTCCGACGGGTGCGCTTCGCAGGTCGCCCGCGCGACGTCATTCCCGACGCTCGCGCCGACGCGGTGTGCGATGCCTTTCCCGACTCTCTCTCCGACGACCCATGCCGCGACCCACTCGCGCGAGCGCCGACGCCGCCGCCGACCCCATCAGCGAAGGCAGTCGCGATGGCACCACCGCCGACGCCATCGTGGAAGGTGGCGCGACCGCCAGCGCCAGCGCCAGTACCTACGTCATCTCATCGCAAGCAACAGCGCCCCCCCCAGCATCGACGCCGCTATGGTTCCCGAGCCCTGCGCGACTGCTTGCTCCTGGCGCTCCGTGCTGGCAGACGCACCAGCAGCAGCAAGCTTGCGGGTCGCATGAAAGGCGCCGGCAGCACCACTGTGTGCAGCGCGACGGACTCCAGCGGCAGGACCGCAAGCAGCGTGGCGAGTTCCAGCGTGCGCATCGCAAGCAGCGTGACGGACTCCAGCGGCGCGATTCGGAGCAGCACGACGGACCCCAGCAGCACTATCGCGAACAAGAAGACGGAATCCAGCGGAACGACAGTGAGTGGGCACGGGGTATTCCAGCAACACCATCGTGCGCAGTGCTACGGTCTCTAGCAGTACGACTGTCTGCAGCATTACGCAGTTCACCAGCATCATCACGAGCAGCATGAATGACCCCAGCAACGCGACCGTGGACAGCAGGACAGACCCCAGCAGTGCCATCTTGAGCAGCACAACGGACCTCAGCAACGCGTCTGTGAGCAACGCGACGGATCAAACAACGCGACCGCGACCACAAGGATGGATTCCGGCAGCAGCGCGTGGAGCTGTTCGACGGACCCCAGCATGTCGACCCTCAGAAGGACGGATTCCAGCAGCACCCTCGTGAGCAACGCGACGGACTCCATCAGCGTGGCCGTTAGTGGCGCGGCGGACTCCAGGAACGCCGTCGTGAGCAGCGCGACGTTCACCAGAAGCAGAGCGGACCCCATAAGCAGGATGCCTCAGGATGACCCCAGAAACACGACGAATTGCAGCGTGGACGCAGTCCAGCAGCACGATCGCGAGCAGCATGGTGGACTCTTAGCACCACCATCTTGAGCAGCGCGACGGATTCCAGCAACGCGATCGTGAGCAGCACGACGGTCTCCTGAAACAGCATCGTGAGCAGCATCACGGACTCCAGGAGCACGACCGTCAGAAGCATGACGGATTCCAGCAGCACCATCGTGAGCAGCATGACCGGCCTCCAGCAATACGACCGTGAGCAGGATGAAGGATTCTAGCGGCAGCATCGGGATAATCACGACGGATTCCAGCAACACGATCGCGTGCAGCATGACTTATTCCAGCACCACCATCGTGAACAGCACAGTGGATTCCATCAGCACGACCGTAAGCAGCACGACGGACTCCAGAAACACCATCGTGAGCAGCACTAAGGACTCCAGCAGCGCGACCGTCAGAAGTTTGGCGGATTTCAGCAGCAGCATCGTGCCACGGGCTCCAGCAGCACGTTCGTGAGAAGCAAGACGGGCCCTAACAGCACGATCGAAATCAGCTCGATTGACCACGGCACCGCGTCGTTGAACAGCACGACGGATCCCGGCAACGCGACCGCGAGCAGAGTGGCGGAAGCCGCAAGCAGCATCGGGGGCAGCACGACGAATTCCAGCAGCACGACCGTGAGCAGAAAGACAGGCCTGAGCAGCATCATCGAAAGCATCACGACGAAGTCCAGACACGCCGTCGTGAGCAGCACGACGGACTCCAGCAGCACGACCGTGAGAATTATGACGGACCGATTCCAGCGGCAGAATCGAGAGCAGCACGACGGACTCCAGCAGCACGATGGTGAACAGCATGGCTCGCTCCAGCAGTACCATCGCGAGCAGCGCGACGGACTCCAGAGCAGCAGCTCTAGGGGCGGCGCACAGCAACACCATGACGGCGCCCCACTCCGCCCCTAACCAGACGCCCAGCCCATCGACCAGCAGCAACGCCCTGTGCACCGCGACCCTGGCCGACAGCAGTGCCACAACTGGAATCAGCAGTGATGCCATCAATCACGGCGGGGACCACGAGGTGAATGGCCTGGTCGGTACCCCCCCACGCGCCCTCGACTTTGGGCCGCGCCCCCGAGGCGAGGGCGAGGCCGTTCGCGCAGTGACGGGTTTCGGGGCGCCACAGGGGCTGCGTGGCGGCATGCCCGGCATCGCCCTCACTCTCAGCACCAACGCCACGAGACAGCGACGCTCACCTCCGTGGGGCATCGACGAGCACCGCACCGGCGCCCAGGACATGCTGGGCCGCGTCGTGCGCACAGATCTGTTCGTTCACGAGGGTTTCG